AAATTTACTTTCATGTATTGTGAAATTTCAGATTTTTATGCACATTTACTCCTTTTATTATTATTATCAAAGGCACCATTTGAGATAAACATATAAGTGGACCATATTGCCTCAGTTTAAAATTTTTACACTAGCTTCCAGTATGCCAAATGGGACAGATTAAATTTCTATCCCCAAAGCCAAAATGAAACACAAAAAAGGCAACTCTATCACCAGTGACGTGCGGTCAGGGGAGCCTCACCTGACATCACGGAAAGAAAAAAATGTATGATGTTAAAATAATTTAAATAGTTATATTTATCCAGTGATTTGTAATATAAAGTATTTATTTTTTCATTTAGCCTCGTCAGCTTTGATGATTTTTAAATTCAAAATCGCTAAATTTTCGCAATTTCCCATTCAAATGCTTGGAAGAGAAGCCGGTGAGGCAGCGGTGAACTGAGCCTCGCCTTGGATTGTGCAATCCCTCACTGCGCTGGCTGCCATGCGTAGGCTGTCACTGCATGGCAGCCAGCGAAGTGAGGGATTGCGCAATCCAAATGAGGCAGCAGCGAGCTCAGCCTCACTTGGATTGCGCAATCCCTCGCTACCTACGCTGGCTGCCTGCAGTGACAGCGTGCTGCTGTCTGGATGGCGCTCTGATCCCAGACATGCTTCTTGTGACTCTGTGGCTGCAGAGTAAGTGACAGCAGGCTAGACTAGGTATGATATACAGTTAGCAAGTCAACTGCAGCGAAGGAAGATCAGGAGACTTTTACAAAAAAGCTACAGATATTTCTGTCCAGAAGGAGCTCAGCATGGACTTCATTTAAAGGTAAAGGTAAGACCGCAATAACTTAAAAAAAAAAAAGAAAGAAAGAAAGAAAAGAAACATGCGTTTTGTGGGCCACAGCTTGTATGTGTAAAGAATGCAGATATGAAACATAACCCGTAAACTGCTGCCAATCAAATGGTAAATATGCTGCTGTGTAGAGTGCATATGTTTGTAAATCAGATTCTGATGAAGTCAGTGCCTCACCAGCCATGAACCTCACCACACGTCACTGTCTATCACATATCTGGAACAAACCACAGAAAACTGCAGGTCTGCTGCACTCTAAAAGGTAATACCAATTCTTACTTGAATTACATTAGTGTACTTTAGTTATTTCTCATTGTTCATTTACTTATAGACTGTGAGTATGTACTCATTTTTCCTGAAAGAGTTATAAAATTAAGTATATTTGAGTAAACTTGACTTGAAACGTTCTGGTCCTGGACTGAACACAGAGCTCAGCAGTGCACATGTGCAGTAAAGAAGTGCAGGAGAAGTTTCTGGAAAGTTCACAGGGCAGCTGTGGTTTAGGTGGTGGAGCGGGTCGGTCAATAAATGGAAGGTTGGCGGTTCGATTCCGCCCTGTAATCTGTGTCATGGTGGCTGTGCCCTTGGGAAAGACACTTCACCCACGTTGCCTGGTATTAATGCATATGAATGGACTGTTTGAGGTGGTGGTTGGAGGGGCAGAATGGCAGCCACACCTCTGTCACTCTGCCCCAGGGCAGCTGTGGCTACAATCGTAGCTACCACCACCGGGATGAAAGTGTGTGAATGAATAATTGACAGTGTAAACTTTACACTGTAAAGTGTCTAGAAAAGCGCTATATAAATGTGATCAATTATTATTAAGTTTCTAACACTTGGAAAGATCAAGTTCATTATGCTTGCTATTTTTAAGTTTAAAAAAAAAAAAGTAAATACAGCTAAATTTTAAGTAAACTTTTCAAGTCGATATGAAGTAAACTGGATTTAAGACTAATGGTTTACTTACCTTTTATGGGTGCAACTGGTTTCCTAGATTTGTTTAAGTAAGATCAACTAATCACATTTTACAGTGTGGACATGAAAATAATAGAAAAACAAGTTGATGTCCATTTTGTTTATTGTTGTCTAGCAGCGGCCACCTGAGCAGGGGCTATGAGAGAAAGAGGGCAGGGTTTTGAGGAACAGCATTACAAAATCTGAATGTAAAATGGAGACATAAAATTTCCAAATTGAAAGAGCACGCTTCTGTTTAAAAAATAGAAAGTAACTGTAAACAATGGCTGTGAAACAGTACGTATACCTCCACCTCCTGTATCCCCTGCTGGTTGTCTCTCTGACTTCCTGTGACTTCAGTGAAGCCTAAAGCCTGGGACAAGAGTCTGAGCAGAGCCTGCCTGTGGGCTGCTTCTGTGGGGTCATGTAAGGCTTTGTGTATCAGACCTCCATCTAGACTGTGTACACCTCCCACCAGCTTCTCCTATGAGGTCAGGAATGGATGAGACAAGAGAGGAAAGGCAAAAAATGCTGTTCAGAAAAAAACATGATATGCTCAGTGTTTGTTGTGTGTGTCGTGTCTTGTGTTACTAAATTAAGTCCTAACATCCATTACAACAATGAGTACTACCCCTAATTGGTGCTTTAAGGGACACCAAAAAAAAAAATCTCATAAACACAAAAACATTAAATAAATTGAGTCAATAAATAATAATTGTTAAAAATCTAACATGAGAGGTAGCAGTTGCATCAGAATAAATGTTGATTATTAGACTATATTTATTGTCCAAGTATGAATGTAAATTATGGCACAAGAATTGCATGCAAGGATTTATTCACTGCTTCACTGAGTCAGGTAATCAGAGTTTTAATGATTCTATGGCACCTGCAAGATGGCAACAGGTACACAGCAAAAATTGGAGTGTTGAAATTTTCAGAGTTAAATGTTTCGGGGTTGATTTTAACTCTCAAAGTGTGATTTTCACACTTTCTGATTTAAATAGTGGTCAGTGTTGGAGTTATTTTACAGAGTTGATCACACNCCAAAAACATGTTGAGGTTAATTGGTGATTCTAAATTGTCCGTAGGTGTGAATGTGAGTGTGCTTGGTTGTCTGTCTCTAAGTGTAGCCCTGGGATAGACTGGTTACCTGTCCAGGTGGACCTGCCTTCACCCTGAGTCAGCTGGGATAGACTCCAGCCCCCCCGCGACCCTAGTGAGGATTAAGTGGTTTATAGATAATGGATGGATGGATGGATTTTTGATCAAAAGGCAAAATAATTTTAAATTTTTTTTTAAATAAATGTTGTTAATGGCATTCATTCTTATAATACATTTTAACACTTTTAAGTGTAGATAACCTAACACTGTAGTGAGTAAAGTTAACACTAACCAGGATATATAGGAGAAAAAAAAAATCTTAGCAGTGTTACTTGTCTAATCCCATAGTGTTAATTTAACTCTCTATATAGAGTTAAAATGTGAACTCTGGCCCAATGTTAAATTATTAGCTATTTCAAAAGTGTGAATTTAACTCTGGAGAGTGTGGAGCTATATAAACCCACAAATAGCATTGAAATCAACTCTGTGGGAGTTAATTCAGCACTCGACTTTTTGCTGTGTAAGACAGGTGGTACAAGCAGAGCAAGAGAGGTCATCTAAGACATGCATTCCCAGAAATTTGAAGGTATGAACCCTTTCCACATAGTCCCTGTTGATGTAGAGTGGGGCAGAATCTGAAGTCAGTGATGAGTTCCTTTGTTTATGTTTTGTTCAGTTTGGGTTGTTAACTAAACACCATGCTGTCTTTAGACCTCATCTCAGTAGGCTGACTTATCCCCACCTGAGATCAATCTGACCACTTAAGCTGGTGTCATTATTCAATGTAATGATGGTGTTTGTTGTATAGGTTGGAGCGCAGTCATAGGTGTATAGAGCATATTGTAGTGGCCTAGGCACTCAGTCTTGAAGAGAGTCAGTGCAGAGGGTGGGGATGGAAGAGAGATGAGGGCAAAGTTTTACTGTGGGCAGTTATTGAGTCTTTTATCCAGGTGCAGGAGGGAAGAGGGAGGGCAAAGTTGACCAGTTTACCAACTATATCCCTGGAGTGACGCTTTGACATGCTTAGCTATCAAAGAGCATTCTCCCCCCAGTGGCATCTTCTGTGGATCTGTTTGCCCTGTAAGCAAACTGATGAGATCAAATTTGGGAGGGAATAAAGTTTAATTCTGCTGTGGGTCTAGCTTCTCAAAGCACTTTATTATAACTGGTGGAAGCGCAGCTTGTCGGTAGTCACTGAGACAGTTGGTGATTGGCTTTTTTGGGACAGGGATGACAATGGCTGACTTTAGGCAGGGTGGGATGATGACTTCTGTTAGAGAAAGATTAAAGATTTCACAGAAGACAAAGGCATTAAGATTTTACTGCTTGTTTAAAAAGCAACAGTCAGGTTCATGTTTATCTCTGTGATCTGCTGACTTCCTATAAGCCTGATCACTGCCTGAGATCTTCCAGCAGGACCCTGCTATTGGTTCTGAACTCTTGTCTAGTCACTGAAGGTGACTGGGCCTTTGCTGTTAGGGCCCATTAGCCATGGAACTCTCTGCCCGAGGATCTCAGGCAGTCAAATTCAGTGTTCTCTTTTAAATCTTTTCTTAAGGCTCACTTGTATCATATGGCTTTTCCCTAACTAATGGTATTGTTGTCACCACACCAAGTCATTCCTTGCATGTCCTTCATGCAATTATATTTGCTATTGCATGTTACTAACTTGTAGTTTGTGCTTGTCCTGTTGTATATCTGGCTCTGAAGCTGTAAAAGGGTGTGATCTAGGCTCTGTCTCTGCTATCCTGTTCTCTCTCCTCTTTTCTCTAAACCCAGTTGGTTGGGGCATACAGACACCCTCCCCGGGCCTAATTCTGCTGGAGGTCAAGGTAGTTACCTCAGCTGTCACAAATAAATTATAGTAATACAAAAATAAAAACATTAAACACTATACAACAAAAATTGTCAGGTATATCCACAAGATTAATAACCCTGTCGATTTTTAGCCACAATATTTATATCAATTGTTAGTTGAGTTATAAAAATCAATTAATAGCACTGCAGGGTCTCACGTTAATATGTTTTACAGTCAAGTCATTTATATAATTTTTGTAGGGTTAAACTCTGATATGTAAATTGCTCAGGTTTAATCACATCTTAAATAACACCACAGGATCTTAACTGCAATGTTCAGTCATGTTATGTTACTTTTGTAATATCAATCTTTTGGCTAAAAGGCATCCTGGCGTAGCAGTTGTTGTCAAAGATATGGTATACAAAAACATTGTCTTGACTTGAATTAACTATTTTATCTTGTTTTTGTTGTGTCTTTGCAATCCTATTTATTATTTGTTGAATTTGCTTTGTAACAAAGTGCTTTACAGCAATAGTTTTGCAGTAAAACCCTTTGTACCTTTGTTTCTGTATGGTGATACACAAAAAAAGTCCATAAAGTTATTAGTTTTTATAACTGCAGAAATGACATAATGATGCAGAAATGACATGAATCAGTTTTTTATGTTTGGCTCTGATTTGCTGTCAAGTCCATTTACACTGCTGGTACTGTAGCTGATAGACAACAGATTAGAAAATGGATAATTCTACTGGTATTTACTACAGTGAATATTCAATCAATAACATTAATTTCGCTTTGATTTGGACAAAAATTAAAATGATATCCTGCATTATGGGACAGTGTCAGACCTAAATGCACTTCAATACAAGATCATATTTAAATACATTAACTTTCAAGTTTATAGTGCAGCTGTCAGCTGGAAATAAGCAGCTGCATCTGTAAAATATTATATATTAACGTATTTAACAGTTTTCTGCCAGCGTTTCTGTCTTGCACCATTTGCAGTAGCAGCGCTTTTTACCGTCATATTTTTTTATACTCCTCATTGTTCTCCATTAAAACGTCTTGACTGAAGCAGCTGCAGACGGTCGTTTACTTTTGTGCAGAAGAAGAGTCACACGTGCACAGAGTCTGAAGCAGAAAGTCTGAGTGGATAAAGAAAGTTGTTACCAACCTTGGTGATACCCGTAATCTTTGGCTAGGGCTTTAGATTTTGTCAAGCCAGTTTACACAAAGAAAGCCTGGATACAAGGTGTGTCAGAAAAGTTACATGGCTGGTGTCACAAAAGATATATTTCAAACGATAATTACAAACTATGAGTTTTCTCCTTCAGACGATCAACCAGCACGTCTACAAAGAGATCCTGCAGCGTTTGCATTGTTCAGTACATGAGAAGAGGCGAGAGTTGTGGCAGGACAAGTCGTGGCTGCTTCACCATGACAACGTGCTCACAATGCCCTGAGCATCCAACAGTTCCTGGCTGAGAAGAACATCCCCATGCTGGAGCAACCTCCCTACTCACTCCACCTGGCTCCGTGGGATTTTTTCCTCTTCCCCAAGCTCAAGGGGGTCATCAAGGGGACCTATTTTGAAGACATGGATGACATCGAGACGTCTGTGACGACGGAGCTGAGGTGGATCCCGGAAGAGTCCTTCCAGGAGTGCATGGCGGTGTGGCAGAGAAGGCTGGAAAAGTGTGCTAGACTCCAGGGGGATTACTTCGAAGGGGAAAACTTGTAGTTTGTAGTTTGGATTTTTGTGACACCAGTCCTGACGTTTTTCTGACACACCTCTTATGTCAAACTTGCTTTGTAGTACAGCTGTCTGGTGTCCCTTGTTATTTTGTTTTACTGCTAAAGGGTGATTTCATTCAAATCCCAGAATAATAAAGCTGCACAGGTATATGTGACTGTGTTTAATGTCGTACAAGTAAAAAAGAAACACAATTTGAATGTGCCACAAGCATTCACTGCAACCTAGGATTTCAAAATAAAGTTTAAAGAGATAGAAACTACAGTCCTAGTTCAGCTAGTCTTGTACAAACTGCAAATAAGTGACAGCATATGGAATATGGGCACTCGCCGTTCTCTGTACCCAACTAGTAGAGTGCTACTCTGATCTTCTGTAAGTATTCTGAAATGGATATGAGGCTTTAAAACAGTGTTTACTTTGTCAGAGTGAAAGACATTTTAAATCTAAATTCTAATTTTACTTGAAATAACAAAATAAAGGAACAGAGCCCATCCTAGCTAACAGCAGTATACGAGCTAATAGCTGTCACCTCAGTTTTCTTATGTGTGGCACTTTGTGTTGAAGTGTGAGTCAACATGTGTGAACTTACCTCCAAATTAAGAACTTTGTCTTTGGGTATTTGTTTAGTGTCTTTTGCCTTCTGAATCCAACTTTGGGTCCCTCCATGATCTCTGAGCCATGTACCAAAAATAAGACTGTACACCTGCATGACGACACACACACACACACGCACACACACACACGCACACACACACAAAATATGGATATGAGTATGACATGTGGCAAGAATGCTGGCCAGAGTGCTAGCTCTTGTGGGTGACAAGTTCTACTTAGAATCACTCATTCTTCTTTATTTATTCTCCCTCACATCATTGCCATCATCAGAAGAAAACAGTTATATATTGTTTGTGATCACATCTGAGTTTTAACAATGCTAAGTGAAAATGAAACATAAG